AATAAAAATAAACAGTTTCCATCTAGCGGTCGTTGCTAGAAAGGTCGTTCATCAAACACAGGCTGGAACGCACAGGGGCGGGCCCGTGCGATCATTTGTTTTTGCACCGGAATTAAAGTACTCAGATCATTAACTGCATGAATGGTTCTTTCTTTACAATTACCTTCTGCAGTCACTAGCGAAAATCACCATAAATTTTGCATATAGTAAATGTACCATTCCTCTTAACGTTCGTTCTTTGAAAGTTACCTAGCTGTTCAATGAGTAATTTTCCCGTCAAAAATTTAAGTGCCCGTACGCGTGGACCACGCGTACATGGAAGCTGAATTTGAAACCTTTATGTTGTATTTCGACGGGGAATATTCTCCTAAAATCTCAGCTTTCCAGCTTTTCTGGTTTCCGAGTTGGGAATTTTCCCGCCAAAACTTTCATAGGGCCGCAAGTGACCTGGGAGCATGCTCAGGAGCTGGGTTTGGAATCTTCAAGCTATACGTAGGCTGGGAACATCCCTTTAAAATTTCAGCCTTCCAACTTTCCTGGTTCCCAATTTAGCCTTTTTCCCGCCAAAAATTTCCACGGGCCATGCGTGACAGCCATGCATGCCTGGGAGCTGAATTTGATAAATTTAAGTTGTTCATGTGCTGGAATATTCGCTGAAAATTTCAGCCTTCCAGCTTTTCTGGCTCCCAAGTTAGCGATCTTCGCGTCAGGAATCCTCACGGCGCTGTACGCAGGAATCATGCACACCCGGCAGCTGAATTTGAAATCTTTGAGTTCTATGTGGACGCTGAACATAATTCAAAATTTCAGCTTTCTAGCTTTTCCCGTTCCCGAGTTAGCAATTTCCCTGCCAGAACTTTCACCTTCTCATACACGGGGCCCAGACTTGCGTAAGGGCTGGTACCGCGGTTTAGGGTGGCACGTGGCCGGGGAATCCACTAGGAAAATTTCAGCGCTGGAACTTGCTTGATTGCTGAGTTGAAATACCAGGACAGACGAAAACACACACAGACAGCGTCGTTGCAATATGCTTTTTTGCAATTCGCATTTAAGCAAAAACGCATAAGAATTCAAACATGTAAATGAATTGTATATTGGAAGAAGAAAGATGAGGAGGACCAGTCGCTGCAAAATACACTCATTTCTGTAAAGCTGAATATTTCTCATAACCACCTGCAAGGAATTTCACGTCCAAGCAGAATTAAGCCCACACATGAAAATAAAATATCCCAGCGAAGTTTCAGTCTCGCATTTTATCTGGCAAGCGAATAGCTGCTTCGCTACAAATATCTTTGAAGTGCTAAGTCGTGGCACAAATCCAAATCGAAACTCAATTTAGATATACTATTTCCTATATGGATTATAAATATGCTGACAAGATTTCAGCCACTGTTTTCGGCTAGTTTTCGAGTTAGCACAGTGCCAAGTGTAAAGCTTGACGTAATGGTGCGCGCTGCACAAGCGTGCGCCTGGTTCACGAAATCGTTCCCCACCAGTGAAATTTGCATATTTTTTTGAGGGTATGCGAAGTCTACGGGATCTAGGCGCGTATGAGCGAAAATTTTGAAACGGGAGGATGACACACGATGTAGGAACATATACTCAAAATTTCAGCCTCCCAGCTTCCCTGGTTGCTGAGGTGAAAGTGAGTGACAAAGTTCACTCGTTTCCGAACACACACACAGACGACTTCTCGACAATATGCAAAAGATTCTGATGATTAAACGAAGTGTCATGTTAAAAGCAGTAATAAAGTGGTGTTAAATTTGCCAGTGATTGTTTCAGTATTGGAAAGCACTGTGCTATACAAAAAGCAAAAATATTACGGAACGTGGGAAATAGCGCGCCGTACATCTGATTACGGATACGCGCAGCTAGTTCCTGTCGTAGTCGAGTGACCCGTTCCACTTCGTTCCTCACTGCATGATGGTACATCCACTTTGATGAGATTGTCAGCCCGAAATAACACTGCAAAATGATTCTACTTTTTTTGTACTTTTGGAAAGCCTCGTTGCATTATTCATATCATATTGTCTGGAATCGCTGGAATAGTGTGGTTTTCTATCTATAATTTTGTAAGTAGGTCAGTCTGCCGGCAGTTCTGATGCTTGTTTCATTTCCTGCAGGGCTTTTCATTGCAGTGGTTCTCCATCAAAATCATTTTGCAATGTTTAAGCTGTTTCGAAGTGTTCATAGTGACTGTGCTGAGTACTAACGAGTCGTCCCCGGGTGTTTCCAGTTCTAGACATGACGAGGCACCATGCCGGTTAACGGACTGGCCCTTTGGTATTTCATTAGCCCTTTCTGTTCGTTGTCCAACTGCATGACTCATGTGAATACAGATAACGAGAGATTGAAATACAGCTTGAAATTTAGTAAAATTCCCGGACATAAACTTTCTTGAAGTAGAGACAGTTTAAGCACTTGTCACAGTTTAGCAGCTTAGACCACTAGAAAAGTAAGTTCTGTGATCCCGGCCATTTCACCTTCCCTGTTTTTTGCTATCAATAACACTTCATTTCACGATGGCAATGAAAATTTCAGCAAATGAAAGCGAACAAATTCCGACAACTGGTTCTTCGGAAAAGCAGCGGAAACAGAACAAGTTGTGAATATTAATCCTGGGTAGCACTGGTTGAAGCTCCAAATGCATTTAAAATGTGACGTCGCATCGGATTTTTTAAAGAAAATTGCAATTTAAATGAAGTGTAAGTATGAAGGAACGGACATACAAC